GACTTCACGTCGTATCACTGCCATATCACATTTATGTTTTTTTTTTGCACCGGCTCCATCTTGTGGTCCTTTTGCATGAGAAGTTTCGAAATAGTTTCGTTTTTTTTGAAAGTCAAAGTCCTCCAAACTCATAGATAAATCACCAAAGCAGTGACGGCTTTTTTTTTTTGAAGCACAGCCATCGGTCCACTCGTGCATCATGTTAACAGTACATCCAATATTTTTTTTTTACCGCGACACTTGTTCCTGACAATTGTGAACCGAGTAAGAATCGTGTTTTTTGTTTTTTTAGATGACGAACAAATGTTCTGTGACAATAAGTGGGCTTTCTGGAGTACTCTCTTTTTTTTTAATCTCTTGAATGGCATGACGATGTAAAATAGTCACATGAATAGAAACCTGCACTTTTTTTTAGTACAACGACTGTATTTGATCCTGATGCTGGCAAGTATAGTTTTCGGAATAATCATGGACACAACAGACATGGCCAAAARGTAAATTATTGATCAAGTTCTTTAACTCAGCATTTTTTTTCATTGCTCTGAATTGATGGGCCGGGTAACTTTCCAGAAGGTGGATAAAATACTCTTTTTTTTCTCCAGGTGAAGTTTCTTTAAACACTAATTGCAGCTTTCTCTTTTCTCCTACATTTTTTTACTCAAAMCGCTCCCACTTGACTTTGGTATTTGTATCTTTACATTTTTCTTCGGTTTTTTTGAGCAGATTTTTTGTACCACATTGGTTGCATTTCMGTGAAAGGCAGCTGTTTTCTTTTTTTTTTTGTTCTGGTCGCTTGTCACATAGAGTTGAATTCACAAGATCTGTCAAGTGGTTTTTTTTTTGAACTTCRTTGTTTCTTGTCAATGTTTGCCTGTATCTCATACATGACTTAATTTTTTTCTGTGCTTCGACATGTATTCTACAGCAGCAGGAGTTACGATCTTTGGTACGAGCTTTTTTTACGTAAAAAGGCTTACAACTTTCAAAGTATCTTTGGCCCATCTCGATGTTTGGGTAAATTTGTTTAAATGCAAGAAAAGCTTCASTTTGTGTTTTCTCGAGGATTTGTTTCTCATTTTTTTTGTACTGATGTGGACCAATTCGCTGTCTTGAAACGTCTCTCTTGTTTCCAGTTGGTCTTGAGATATCTTTCTCGGTCCAAAAGTCATAAGCAAGTTTACGGTGGTCTTCTGGAATATTTTTTTTTCTGGTTTTTCTTTTCGTAAATGTCCATGGTACCCGAGTGTCTTTTGACAATGTTTTTTTACGATGTTGTCTACTCATAGCTATCCTTCTTCTGGTGATACCAAGTTCTTTGGATTTTTTTGTCTGCAGTTTGTCTTTATTGCCACATAGCATTGAAATTCCAACATTTATTGCTTTTTTTTAATCGTTGTTTCTCTTGTGTTTAATTGCCGTAACAGCCTCTTTAACATTGTTGATTTTTTTAGTTGCAGTTGCAGTTGCTATTCTCTTCTCTTCCTCTTCAGCATACAGACGGCCTTTTTTTGCTAAAATGTTTCTTGTCTCCGGACTATCAAGCAGGTTCTCGATGATTGAAGCTTTCTTTTCCGGAGTGCTTGGAAGAATCGTTCTAACTTTGTTGAGAATTCTATTTTTCGTCTTACGATGTAGAGCAGATGATTTCTTGTTGCGGTTTTGCTTGCTCTTTTCATAAAACCTTCTAGCTCGTTCTCTGTTCAGCCTTTTCCGCCGCTCGATTGAATTTTGAAGTCTTTCTTTGCCAGATGTCTTTCCCATGTCTTTTTTTAGTTATTTTTTCTTTTTCTTTTTTTTTTCATTGTTTTTTTCTTTTTTATCATTATCCGTATCTGACCATCACGCGAAATGTTTTGTAAAAAGTKGTTTCGTGCTTAAATTATGCTTATTGTACGCATGATAACATGCTTTTGGTGCCCTTATTACATCATGATCGTGCTTTTCGTGCCTGTTATGCGCACGATACCATGCCTGTTTACTTCTTTTTATCATAAAAATCGAGTCATTCGTGCCTGTTATGGGCACGATACCATGCCTGTTTAATTCTTTTTATCATAAAAATCGAGTCATTTGTGCCTGTTATGGGCACGATACCAAGCCTGTTTAATTCTTTTTATCATAAAAATCGAGTCATTCGTGCCTGTTATGCGCACGATACCATGCCTGTTCGGCCTCTTATGCTCTTTTTAAGGCACAATCCGCGTTCTGCAGTTGATTAGTGTGTCGTTAGCCCTACGTGTAAGTTTGAGTGTATTATTTTAAATTTCATTGATGAATGGGTACTATCGATGRCGTACCAGATGAAATATTGTGCTATATATTTGAACATCTATCAACATTTGAAAAAATTGTCCGCATTCGTTTGGTTTGTCGTCGTTGGAATGTGCTTGCCAAACAACCACAATTATGGATTCATGTCCATTTGGGATACCAACGTCTACTAACTGCAAAAGCATTTTCTGAGATTGTTTGTAAACCAACAAAAGATATCATTATTGACGAATGCCACTCGCTTAACTGGAACACCGTGCATGAATGCATTACCAGAACGAGGTTATTGCGGTGTCTTAGCTTTGCCTGGTTGACCAAAACTCTAACAGAACGAATGGACTTTGCAAACTTGAATATGAAAGGTCTTGTCTATTTAAATATAAGCCATTGCAAAGTTGATGATCCTTTTTTTCTATCTCTACCGAGTGCCTGTCCTAAGCTTCAAACTCTCATTATGCTGGATTGCTCTACTGTCCACCATAGTGCATTTCGAAGTTCTGACTTCAAAACACATCGGCACTTGAGACTTTTGAACRTTGYTTATTGCCTAGAAGGTGAAGAAAGTATTGGAACTTTATGTGCCATTTTCGAGTATAATTTTTGTACAGTGAAAGTAGACTCTACAGGATTTAGACTTTCAGAGGACGATGAAGAGATGCATTTTCAATGCCACGAAGATTACTTTTCAAGAATGACTACACTTGAAGACTATCAAGAATTTTTATTTTAAGTAAGCTTATATTATTCTTGTTCAATCAGTCGAAAAAAATTAACTACAAATTTGTAATTTTGGCTTCTTTTAGCCTAAGCAACTGACTGACACGCATAATTCAGTCTTATCAGATTATATTTTACAAGTTAGATCCCTTGAAATTTTCGATAAAATTTCGACATCGGATCTTATCTATTCTCTGAAATATTCATTTCTCGTAGTTATAAACAACAAAATTCGCGACTGAGGTGCACATGGGCTATTAATTCTTCGTGTGTAATTTTGTTTGAAAATACTTCGTATTTGTGAAGAAAGTCAACAAAACCTAGCGTTAGAAAAAATGAGACACTTTTGTACACCAACATCGTGCGCAGGGCCTGTTGCCATCCTTAAAATGCTCATCAASTTCTCCGAAGTCAGCATCAATTTTGCCTGCTGAAGAAGGTTGGGCACTTAAAGAGAGCAAGAAAAAGTCCCAGTTTAGCGACAAACGTCAGACATCAGGAAGAAAAGTCAKTCCAGAATCAGTGGCAAAGGACATGAGAAGGGCTAGAGGTCCCGATGGTGGTCGCCTTTTTGACATTTCTGAATTTCTAAAGTCACAGCAAATATCGTCGTTTTCTTCTCGTTTGGCTTCCAAGGCTCGCCAAATTGTGCAAGACGACATTGACGTTAATGCTATAGAAGAGGAGGAGAATTTTGCCAGCGCAAGAGAAGCGGTCCTATCAGCAGTGCACTTACAGCATCCAATTACATATGACAACTACGACCTGTGCTTCATGGTTAAGAACAACAAGTTAAGGAGTCTCAAGGTCCCGATGCTACAGATCATTTGCGAAGCTCTGGAGCTGGATGTGCCAGTCCCTCCTAAAAAACTCAAACGACCTTATGTCGATTTGATAAAGAATGTAGTATACAACTGTACATGTTAATATTATTGTAATGATTTCTTAAGCGACTTTCCCTTTAAGCACATACTGAATTAGGTGTTGCCCCCTATGAATTCTCAATCACAGAATGTCATACGGCAAAGATCTGAGGAAATGTGCCGATTTACGTATTATAGTGATTTTTCTCGTATAGCAAAATTTCAGCAATTGGTATCATTTAATACCTGACAATGAATAGCGAAATTAAGTTAAAAAGTGAAAAGGGCACTATTGTGCATTTACCAAAACATTCTCTGGACATGAGGTTAACACTACGAGGTTTTATCAAAGAAATAAAAGACCTTGAAGTTTCCTCATATTAAATCATTCTTCTTTAAAAGCTTTTAATGATTTATGGGCAAGTATTCTTTGTGTTTTGTTTATCCAGYGTATAAACATCACTAAAGAAAAAATACAAATAGACGAAAGCTAAAGGAAGTGAATACAATTATCGGGAGACATGTAATTCTATTCGAASACGGGATCCCTGTGTAAAATTCTCCAATAAAAACATTGTCACTTGAATTGGTTTACTGAAGTTGTGTCTGAGATTTTCAGCAATCAAWTGTCCTYGTCTTATAACTAAATGTTTTGAGGTGCTAAAAGCTGAAGTTTGGAGATGTTTGGAAGGTCTATAGCTGTCGAAGCTTCGAATTCTAAGAATTCTGCTGTTCTGAAGTCGATTACATCCAGTGTTTTCTACGTCAAAGAATGATCTCGCTACGGAAAACAATTTGGATTGCAAAGCTGAAACTTTCCAGGTAATAACTTAAATAAACAAAAAAAAACGAATTTTCATGGGAATAAAATACATACCAGGTCGTTAAATATTTGCTTGAAGTTGGCCTAAAATTTCGAGTTTGTATCGCCGGTTTAAGTGACCATCAGTCACTCTCAATTTTACAGATGAAAATGTGCCTTTTTTGGAATTATATTTTAATCGTTTTAAAGTAGAAGGAACGCTTATTATCCACGAGAAATTATTTTTGAATGAGCTGTGCTATGACAAGTTTGAGTCAAAATTGAGTTGTTTACACCGGTTCGTAGCGGACCGGAAGTCGATTTTCACACTTTTGTAAACTTTGGCAAAATAAAAAAAGACTGGAGACTTTTAACTGAATTCTCTGGACAAAATATAAGGATTTTGAAATTTTTCTTGTCCAGACATTCTCGATCCTTACAGGCAGTCGCTCTTAACTCTTTAAATAGAAATAATAGAGAAATCTGTTCTTTTATGACCCTGGTAAAAATCCTACGCAGGATCCTGTAGGATCCTGTAGGATCTTGTATAGGAACAGGATCCTATGCAGGATCCTGTATAGGATCTGAATCCTGATTAGGATCCTACAATGGTACCAAATCCTGACCAGGATCCTGTGTAGGATCCTAAGTGAAGACAGGATCCTATATAGGATAATTATCCTGGTAAGGATCCTATATAGGAATAAGATCCTGTTCAAATCCTAACCAGGATCCTGTGTAGGATCCTAAGAGAAGACAGGATCCTATATAGGATAATTATCCTGTAAGGATCCACTATAGGAATAGGATCCTGTTCAAATCCTGAACAGGATCCTGACTGTAGGATCCTAAGAGAAGACAGGATCCTATATAAAATAATAAATATCCCAGTTGTAGTTGTTAAATTATGAAAGATCATTAATTATTAGATTCCTGACCCTCCATATCCCTCCATATGTATCTTTTTTTATAACAGGATTTTACTAATTCTTGATTTTAGGCATTAAATGTCCATACAAAATGCCCCCTGTCTGCAATTTTGAAAGAGACATTTTAAAGCATATCACATAAATGTGGCCACTGTTAATATATTATTGGTATTTTTCGATCTTGCTCTTTAAATCCAATTAGCATCTTGATCCCAAGATATCACAATCCTAAAACAGTGATGGTTAATAAGCAAGACAAAAGTTTTAAATACATTAACAGCAGGCACACTCATTTTTCTGTTAACAGATGTTTATGTCATATTAACTTTATTTTGCTTATGATGTATATAGCTGATAGTTTTTTGTAGCTGAAAATTTGAAATAGGTATAATAATGAATTAAAACATTCAGTATTTTTATTAATATTGGAGACATAAAGTGCGATGTTTCTTTAATTAGGTTATACCTGTAGTACTGATTGTAATGTGAGGTTTCATTAATGGAGTGTTTTATTTATCCTGGTTTGTGAAAACTTTATTTCTTTGCCAAAGGGAAAATTGCTTGTTAGCTCATGTATAGACAGAGAACAAGGAAAATGTGGTAAGAATAAACAATAAATTTAATTTCATGATAATTACATACAGAAATGGGCAGGACTACAGAATAATCTAAGAAGCCACAATGTTTATTGAATTATCAAATGCAAAATAGGTCATGACAAATGAATGATAATATAGTAAAATCATGACAGTACTATATTGTATGAGGAYAGTCTATTGCATTCCTGAAGTTTGTTTCAAAGCTTAAAAGAATTGTCTTTATATCTAAATTTAGTCATGCTGATAGCTTTTTAAAAGAGCAGAAACATATCCATCAATGTCAGTGTCTTCACTCTCAACAAAAACCACTCGTGCTTTAATCTGCAAGCATCTGAWTAGTTTGAATCTTGCTGTAAACCGTACTCCTACAAAATGATGTCYCAAGAAACCAGAGGACCAAAAAGGTATGCACAACTGGGTCTCTTGGGGGTGGAATTCCAAGTGAGCAGATGTTACAATGTGTGTTTTCAATGACTCTTACAACAGCATAACCATCGTTATTGCAATCTTTAAGGAAGAACTGAACTTCTCCAAAACAGATATCATCTCCTGACATATATTTCACCAAATAGCTTGCAGATTTTGCCTTCCTTTTGTAGCACAAACTGTGATAGACTTGGCCACCTTTAAGCATTCTTTGAGATACACTCACTTCTCGATTATCATCAAAGTAACCTTCAATTGGATTACCAACACGTGGAACTGAGTGAAGCATTGGAGTAAAAAATTGAACATTGTTATCAACTTTTATAAGTTTTAGTGAACTTGTTGTAGAACCAARYATTCCAAACTCAGAAGCTTCAGTGTTGCCATTTACATTTTCTCTAATGTACTGCTTAGAATGTTGTGCAATTGCAAGTCTTTTACAAATCTGATCTGGAATACCTCTGGTACCATGAAACATAYGCTTCAGGTGAGCCAGCATAGATTCAAACACGAAGGTGGAGTGGAGGATGAGTGGACCATGAGCTCTCACTTGTGCTGGCAGATGATTCAGTGAATGAGAATTGAAAGTGCACTCTCGCCTGAAATACAATGTGGGAAGCAACCTTGTATAGCTCTGAATCATGGCTTCAGCGATACAAATATCATTTTCTGATATTGTATCCTCACAGAGCATAGTTATTCCTGTTACTAGAAGGGCATGATGGTAAAAAATATCTGTAGGAAGCATTGACTTCAAAACTGGAAGTCCAGCTTGAAAACTTGAAAACTTTGAAAACTCTTCCACAGGCCTAAACTTAYGTTTAAAATCATGTGGCAATTTGATTTTAAAGAGAGTATGCGAGATAGCTTCTTGGTCATTCTTTAGATTGACTTCACTTGGACATTTCCCATTTAACCACTTTGTCAGGCTTCTGGTGTATTCACCCTCAAGAACKTGGTGCATATAATCAAACAAAAGCATTTCTGGAATTTCCAAGATTTCATGTCCTACCGAAGGCCATTTAATTCCAAAAACAGCTTCTCCAGTTAAAGAACAAAGCTCAGCATGACATAGAGAATCTTCATGATTCCTTGAATCAAATTTACCAGGTAAATATATTCTTACATTTCCCCGTCCAGGAAGTCTCTTTCCTGGGTGTAAACAATAGCTACATCCAAATTTTCCATTAAAGATCTTAAAATTCACAGATGGACCCTTTGCAATGAGGTCTGCAGCTTGTCCATTCACATTAAGTTTACACTTGGGTGATCCTTCTAAATTGTCAATAACAATGCGTGACTTAAATCCGACTGCGATATCTACATCCGACCCGACCTTTTTTGCCCTGTCGTAAGGGCCGATCAGCTCCAAAGCCTAATATTAGGGATTAAGGATCGATTGCCCTTTTATTAGGGCATTTGTGATCCATATGGCAAGAACGGCCCTAATGATAGGGCTAAGCCGCAAGAAGCCCTTTGAAAAGGGATCGCGAGGTAGTATCCCTAATACAAGGGCTGAAATTCGAGATATACTCGATGACAAGTTCGCTGAGGTTGACCAATGGTATACCTCTATTTAATATGYTGTTTCTCTGATGTTTATATATTAGATATCTTGAAAATGCCGCGCCAAAGCGGACAAAAATACTTGTGTGCGAAAATATAATGCTTACTTCGTGTTACTTTTTTAAATGTAYRACTTWTTGTGAAAATGTAATAATTTCTTTGTGAAATATGCGCCACKATCATACGTAATTTGCAAACCATTCTTCTAMATTCSAAATTGAATCCTTCAGCAGGTTACTCAACAAGAAACCTCAGAAAGTGGTAAGAAAGTGGTCAGTGAACAGTTTGAAACTTTTGTGCGAGAAGAACTCAAAAGGATTTTTGAAATGCTCGCACAGATTGAAGGTTTACTGGCCACTCAAATAAAATCCAGACCTTGTTCCTCACCTATCCATTTGGATGATGTGAATGACTCAAGACCAGACCAAGCAGGAAYATCAGGTGTTAAGCTTGAGGTGAGCTTATTGTTTATACAGTTAACAGTACAGTACAAAACTTGACCAGATGGACTATTTATTTCAACTTAATAAAAAAATAATATATTTCTCTTGATATTTGATCCAATTGCAATCCATGAAAGGATCCAGCATGACCTACATGTCATGTCTTTGACTGTTGTTTGATGCACACCATTAACTGCTACATTAACATATCTTTAGAACAGCCYGGTTTCCAAGAATGAGTCCCTACTTACCAGCGCGGAAGATTCTGATGAAGAAGAAATAGTAAGTATTTCTGAAATACATTTGTTTTTGGAATTTGATAACTGAATGCTTAGAATTTGATAATTTTCATAGAAATGTTTAGATTCATGGATTTATATGTATTGTGCTAATGAACAGCTTCCATKGAACAGGGATGAAGCACTTTGAGTACTTTTCTTTGACCAGCTGAAAAAATATATTTGAAGCAGAGCATGAGACATGGAATTACCTAAAATAGCTTATTCATTTTTTATGCAGTTCTAAAATCATTCTTTTTTTTCTGCAGACTTATAATGGGGTTAACCTTTTGAAGGACATACCTTCAAAACAAAAGAAGCCAAAACTCTATGCCACCTCTCTTCTCTCTGCTCTTTTTACGGATGAGCAGATGAGGGGGGTGGTGTTGAGCCCAAAGATGGCGGTTCAGGGAAGAAGACTGCTCTTGACCAGGCCAAAATTAACCTTATTAAAAGTAAGTTTTAGATTGATACAACAATTTTGTTGAATATGCCACCAATTCCATCAACGTCCAGATTTGACGAAACAAACTGATGATGTTTATGTAACTGTATCAAATTTGATTTAGAATTACATCTTATTAATAATTACTTCAATCTTGTTTCATGATAGAGTGCATCAAAATCAAGTATGGTTCTAAGGTGCTGGAAAAAGGTTGGACTGAAATACGAGTCAGCCTAAATCAGAAGTGCCTGGACAAATTAAAGGCACATAGAAAATCCCTGCAGTCTTCAAGAAATGATCATGAGGCAGATGAGAACTAAATATTGATATAAGCTCCTATATTCAGATAATGTTGAAAACGACATCTTCTCCACTTTTTATCAACCTGGCTTATAGTTTACTAGAGCTATAATGTTCATATCTCTTTTGGTCTCTAAMATTTATTATTTTCAGTTCTTGTTACTTAAAAAAATTGACTTAAGCATCCTACAATAAATTAGAATAGGATAAAATTTACAAAAACCATGTAACTACAATTATTACAAATATTTTTACAAATACCTTTCTTGTATGCAAGGAAAT